TTGGGAATAATGTAGGTTCTCTCACTGAGGTTAAAAAAAAACTGGCTAGCAACACAATTCCAAATGAAAGATTTGGGAGAAGCACAATATTGCTTATCTGTTTACAAAGGTTCTTATGACTAAAGTGTTTGAGGGTCATCTAGAGAATCTAGGTTTACGAAACATTTGCCATTTAGTCTAGGGCAAATGGGAGATGTTATTAGGTATATTGTATGCCCTAGTTCATTGTAATACTTGTACATCCCACTCGCTTTTGGACAAGTGAGAGATTGTTGGGTTTGGTGTTCTTAGCTCGTGTATTTGTAATTTATGAACAAATTATTTATTCAATAAAGAGTTATCTTATTATTTCTTTGCATTACTCGTATTCCAATAAACCAATATCCAAGGTTATTTAATATAACTGAAACAATATATATTTGATATAGAGTATATATTTAATATACAATGTATATATTTGATATACAATATATAGTACAAAGATAACCTAAATGGTCTATAGTACAAGGATAAAGTTGAGTACCTTATCTTGGTAACACTATGAATATGGCTCGCTTTGTAATAATTACAAACGACTTTATCCAAGTCGTTTATGTAGAGACATGCAAGTAGAGGTATCCTATACAATGAGTTTGTATAAGATCGGACTGCGAAATAATTAATCATTGACTCTAACACCGTTAGTCAATAGATTTTTATCTCATAGGATGATCAGGTAATTCGATCTTAATCTTAAACGAGTTATGGACTCTTGCCTATAAGGGATAATCCTTTTATTTGAATGGGTGATAGTGGCCTGGGTTGCTGATTCAACAATCCTACCATTTTGGAGATGAGACTGAGTGGGGAAATAGGAATATAACTACGCAAGATGGAATTCACTCCTTCCCGACTTTAGGGAAGTAGATGAGTATTCCTTTACATGCTGACTCTGGGACTTGAACAAGGGGCCTCCACCCTCTCACTAGGCCAAGAGGGATTTCCGGTTATTTGTCGGATCATAACTGGGTTATTCATTAGAAGAGCAGTGGTATTTAAGGAGCAAGATGTAACTCAGGAGTAAAATAGTAATTTGACCGAGGTAGAGTTACAAGCACACTCGTGAAGGATTGACTTGTCATTAATGGTTGTACATCCGTGGACACGAAAATATTTTGTAGTGAGAAGAGTGCAGTTGCGGGTCTTTAGTGGAGTGACCCACAATTAACGAATGTTGATTAACTCGGTTAATGAGTTTGACTGATTAATTTCGTATCGTTAGAGCTTTTGATCTGTAGGTCCATTAGGTCCCCTTTCTAGCTCACAACGGGTAAAACAATGATCAAAATTTTGAGAGAATTTGAAATGTTCAAATTATATATCAAGGAATGTATATTATGATACATTATATATATAGCTTATTTTTTAATAAAGATTCGATAATTAAACTATATGTTATGAGAGAAATATTTGAATAGGATTCAAATAATTAATATGAATTGGATTCATATTAAAACTATAGATTATACCAGAGAGATGCATTTGAATATGATTCAAATATATAGTTTTAATTAAATACGTGATATTTAATTAAAAGTTAAATAATTAATTGTTAATTATTTATTTATTTAATTAATATTTGGATTTAAATTAATTAATTATTAATTTAATTAATATTTATTAATTAAATAAAAAGAATAAGATATCCTCATGGTCTTAGAATTTCCCCTAAATTCAGGAAAAGATCATATCTTATATCCAAAAGGATAAGATATCCTAATATTTTCCCTCTCTATAAATATAACAGTAAGCTGAACCCTAAAGGAAGGCTAAAGGCTAAAAAATCTCTTCACTTTTTCTCTCTCACCCACTACCATTAGCGTCGTGCCGCCGCAGTTGCTCTTTGAATCTGCTTGGAATGCACTGCCACGAGTCTCCGTTGCTACTATAGAGGTGTTCACTTGCCGTCATTCGTGGGTCGTCGTTGTAAGGGAAGAACCGTCATGGCTCATTACCACTAAAGTCGTCCAGGTTGCGCTGCCACCGAAGAAGGGTGATGTAGGTTCGCCATGGTTTCCATCGAAGGAGCGTGTGTTTAGAAATTGCTGGTGAGATATACAACGATTCTTGCCAAAAAATGCCAAGAACGAACTCCTTACTCCAAGTTGTCGTGGGTGTTGAAGGTAGGGGATTTGAGGTTTCAAGAAAATCAGTCCTCATGGGTGGTTCGATTGAATGGGAAAATCAACACCAAAATTTTAGGGATTTGAATGAATCCACCCAAATTTTAATTTTATTCCATTTTTTATTTTGGGTGATTCGAATGAATGGATAAATGAGGCCCCAAATTTTAGGGATTTGAACGAAACCATTCAAATTTTAACTTTATTCCATTTTTTATGTTTTGTTTTTATGTTTATTGAATATATATTTCAAAAGGCCAACAGGTAATTTTTTATGGGTCTCATTCATAATGGGCTAATCTTTTGACAATAGTGTAAATTGTTAATAGTTAAGCTATTTTTGAAATTTGAATTCCCAAATGAGCTATTTGTGTACTCATCCCTTAGAATATTAGTTGGCATACTTAAGGGTACAAGATACATTAAAGATAGCCAATATAGTTCTATAGAAAACGAGTAGTCAAGATTTTGCATATTTTAGCTCATAATATGACAAACAAAACAATTGGCTTTTTCTTTCGTCGATCAAGTGAAACAGTGAGTCGACATTTTCATCAAGTCTTAAAGACAATTATATCCTTGGAAGAAGAATATCAAGTTCAATCAAACAGAACTTCAATTCCTCCCGAAATTCAGAATAGCACAAGATTTCTTCCATATTTTAAGGTAAATATTCTAAGCTAAATGTCTCAAAATTTTTTAAAACGTAATTCATACTAACTATTAAATATCTATTATATAGGATTGTGTTGGGGTCATTCATGGAACACATTTGTGTGTAAAAGAATAAAAAAAAATGTATCAAGATTTAGGGGAAGAAAAGATTTTCCCACACAAATTGTTTTGGCAGCATGCACATTTTATTTAAGGTTCACTTGTATGTTACCTGGGTGGGAAGGATTTGCTTCGAATTCTTGAATTCTAGAAGATGCATTATCAAGAGAAGATAGTATAAGAATTCCTTCAGGTATATGTATGTGTATATATGTGTGTGTGTGTATGTGTACACACATAATTAGTATATATATAATGTTTCTAGAGATATTTAACATAATTAAGCATAATTTATAATTCTAAAAATTATTTTATGATTGTTGTTTATAGGAAAATATTATCTTGTTGATGCAAGGTTTATATTGGGTTTATTACACCTTATCCTAAGACAAGATACCATCTAAAAGAGTATTCAACCTGCACCCTCCAATCCCAAAAAGAGTTATTTAATCATATACATGCATCTTTAATAAATAGCAATTGAAAGAGCATATAGAGTATTAAAGAAGAGGTTTCCAACCATAGCTAATGGGACTAAGCCACATTATATTTTTGAGACACAAATCGATATAGTTGTAGCATGTTCCATTATACATAATTTTTTTTATGACTTTTGATCTAGATGAGAGATTAATTGCAGGAGTTGATAATGAAATTAGGGATAGTGAAATAGAAATTGGTCCCACATTAGGAGTAAGTGGTGAATACTACTCACAACATACATGGTGAATAGACCCACGCAAACCTACAACACTACAACAACATGACAGCAACGATGAAAAGACCCAAGGAATCCCACGAGATAAGAGAAAACCTATAGAGAAGAAGGACGTTTCAGTAAAAAAGGATTAAGGAAAATGTAAAAATGAAAAAAGTAAAATAAAAAAAAAAGAGTTTTTACCCTTGACCATTACCGTGAAGCCTTGAAACTCATCTTATCCAAAGTTTGCATATCGACCCTTAACCATTTATCCAAAGCCTCAATACTTGAATATATAGTGACGTATCAACCCTCTTCATAACAAATACAACTCTCACACATAAGTCTTATAACATGCTTTTTAAGCCATGCAACATTCAACTCACAAAACTGAACATGCTATAATCACAACCATATATGCTAGCATTTTGGGTCTTTTCTGACATTAATGAACAGTAAAACCGGTTGAAATTTCAATAAAATCGTCACGAAAGGTAAGAAATGCATTTTTGGAGGGAAAAAAATGGAGATTTCCTGATTTTTGACCTTTTGTTGCATTTTTTAACCGTAACAAAAAGTTTGGCAAAAAAATTTATTTTTCATGACGTTTTTTGAACATCACGAAAGGGTAAGGCGCGTTTTTGGTGGGAAATGACGGAGTGTCCCAAATTTTTTATTTTTCGTGACCTTTTTCTAACCGTCACAAAAAAGTTTAAAGAAAATACGTTGTCCGTGACGTTTAATAAACGTCATGAAATGGAGAGGCACGTTTTTGGAGAGAAAAGGTGAAGTTCTTCGGATTTCCAGCTTTTCCATGACGTTTAAAAAACGTCACGAAAAGCTGGAAATCTAAACTTATCGTGACATTTACGAAACATCATAAAAAGGTGGGTCGTTTTTTTTATGTTTTCTAAACGTCACGATAAGTGGGAAAACTACGTTCACTGCAAGAGAAATGAGTTTTAGAGGCACGTAAAAAATGTCGCTGAAAATCCAATTTTGTCACTAAAAGTTTCAGCGATGAGACCTAGTTCGTCGCTATGGACATCGCAGATAACTCGTCATTTAAAGTTTCAACGACATCTAAGCCTGTCGCTAAAACTAATTTGCAGCGACAAAGGAAGATGTCGCTGAACATTAGTTTTAGCGACAGGCTTAGATGTCGCTGAAACACATTTTCTACGACATCTTCCTTTGTCGATGAAAATTAGTTTCAGCGACATCCTTAAATGTCGCTATATAATATTTTCAGCGACAAAATTGATTGTCACTGAAAACCAGTTCCATAATAGGCCATATCGTGTTTTCCTTCCAATTTCGCCTTCAATTTTACTCAATTTATGTGCTTTAAAATGACACATATATAAAACGTCACTGAAAAGTATTTTTAATATTAAAAAATACGTAAGGTAGATTCTCCAAATGTGTAACATCCTATTATAACAAAAAAGTACTTTCGATCTACAAATAACAATTTGTCTTATAAGTGATTCAGTTACATAACAAAAGAAAACATGTTGTTTTGTGCACGAACTTCTTCTTCTGAATGATCCAGCATAACCGCTTTTGATGACATAGTATATCCTGTAAAAAATTAGCAACACAACTTATTTAACATGAAAATATAATCAAAAGAATTTTTTGGCCTACTAAACCATATATATATATATATATATATATATATCCACACCAACTTACTAAATAATGAAAAACGTAGTGAACAACACTAAACCAATCAACAAAAAGTAATCTATTAGAACTCCAAAATCATAGTTTATAATCCAAACAACTATTAAATCATTTCTAAAACAAACAAAATTGAAACACTACAAGAGAAATAGTCACGACATCAAAACCAATATAGATCTAGCCATGTTATATCAACACTATAAACAACCCAAAATGCTCATAACTTCATAAAATACTAATAAACTCATTTGTATATATATACAACACAAGTGATGACTACCATAACTGCAAGATCATCACGACATTTCAACTACATCAAAGCAAGTATTTATAAGTATATGCATCAAACAATCGTTGTTATGCTTCTATTAACATCATAAACAACTCAAATGCTCCTAGCACTTGAATTTACTAACAAACTTATATTAGACATAATATAAGCTATGACTACCATAACTGCAGGATAGCCACAACACTTATCTACGTCAAAATTAAGCTACGTCAAAACCAATATTTCATAAGTACATGCATCAAATATGTAGCTACACTTCTATTAACATCATGAGCAACTCAAATGCTCCTAACACTTGAATTTACTAACAAACTTATATTAGACATAATATATACTATGACTACCATAAACCTATATTAGACATAATGTAAGCTATGACTACCATAACTGCAGGATAGCCACAACACTTAGCTACGTCAAAACCAGTATTTCATAAGTACATGCATCAAATATGTAGCTACACTTCTATTAACATCATGAACAACTCAAATGCTCCTAACATGTGAATATAATAACAAATTCATATCGATATAACATAAGTCTTGACTACCATAACTGCAGGATAGTCACAACACTTCAAAACACATCAAGTCCAATATCTATTATAAAGTATCATCTACTTAAATACTCATCTACTATGGACAATATGTATGGGTACCTTTTTAAGCATCATTTGACGGTTGAGAATTGCCTCGTTGTGACGATCCTTCTCCAGCATTGCTTAGCCTGTTTACAATTTCTTGTAACTAACTCAATTGAGCCATTGTTGATTCAAGCAGGCTTTGTTGCGTCTGTACAACGGGTTGCAATTGAGCAATTTGATTTCTTGAYTCTCTATTTCTTTGAGAACTTCGTTCATTTTGAGTCGTCGCAATCAGTGGTCCCCATCCAAGTGCACCTCGCCTACCTAGTACTTGAACACTGATTTGTCAAGCTGAAGGAGGTTCTGCACCTTCTTCCACTGGTGCATTTTTCAGTTCAACCATTTGTTCCTACAATGTCTAAAATAATACAAAAATTAAAAAAGTAATTTTACCTACATGTTTTTGACCAGCCACTGGACTCATCCACTCGTCATTCATCCTTTTATGTGTTACTTCAAACAGTTCAATGTCATCTACCTCTCATCCCTCTTTGTTTTTCTACATAATTCAAACAAGGTTATGAGTAGTGAAATATTTTTGAAGTTATAACAA